TGACTTTATTCTCATCATTTTATGACTTTATTCTCATACTAATATTACGTCTTGAAATGACAAAAAAAACAATATCTAGTTTGGCCTTACTACTCCGTTGTACTTTAAAAATGATTAATTTATTTAAACTACTCCTAAACGCCATCAAAATGTATCTGTAGTAAATATTTTCCACCTGTTTTTATCATTTGGGGTAAAACCTTAGGGGTTTTTCAGAGAGCACATGAACAAACGCCATCTTGAACAGGACCAAATAACTTTAAAGCGGGGTTATCTGATGGAGCCTTTTCCATCTTAAGAAGACATTTCCATTGGTCCACAGTCTGTGCTATGGGAGGATTAATCAGAGAATCTGATCCAACAGTAACTCTGGAGCAGCTGTAGAGATCAGTGGCTCTGTTAGAAGAATGGATCAACATCGCAACTTTTTTCTTTTAATCACACATATATCAAAAATTACCAGAAGCAGAGGTGGGTAGAAACTAGTTACATTTACTCAGTTAGTTAATACTTTTCTGAGCAGTTTTACTGCACCATACCTTTTACTTATATCTTCATAAAATATCGTTACTCTTCTTGAATAAAATATTTTGCTACTCCATCCATGGTGAGTAACTTCACCGAATAACCAAAAAGCTTGTTTGAAAAAAAGAGATGCTCCAGAAGAGACACTGTTATTTATGTCAAAATGTGTTTTTTTTTGTTTACAAGCTAACACACAGCAAGGAGTACATACAACTTTTTTCCTCCTGATTTAGTCTTTTTCCTTATTTTTTTTTAACTCCACGCCCCCATGTATAATGTCTGTCTTTTCTTGGACAGGTTGTACTGAAACTGAAATTGTACCTTTTCGGAGTTCTACTCCAAGCTGGATGAGAAATAAAATTATTCTGATTTTGAATTATTGTCACTGGGGGTACTGATTTTGATAAGCTATATATTAAATAAAAAATTGGTTTGGAAAAGTGCTTTTATTTTTTGGCAGGAAATTTAATTTTTAAGTTACATTCTTTGTCTGTTTTCATTATTTTATTATAGTCTTTAAAAGACCAGAATTTTGCACATAACTTTTGTTCATTTATTACATAAATTTTAGCCAGTTATAAAGAGTTACTCCCCTTTTCTACCAAATACCTTTTCAGTTCAGTAGCTTTTATTTGTCCCAGTATGGGCAATTTTTTATACTCTGACATGAGTGATTTCTTAGATGGTTACTTTTTATTCGTACTTAAATAAAAATATGATGAAGTAGTATTGCTCTTACGTGGGTACAGTTTTTGGATACTTTAACCACCTCAGGACGTTGAACAAATACAGGAAACAGAAGAAGAACTTTTTTGCCTGCATGCAAAATGCTGAGTGTGGCAGAAAGGAGCTCTATTAAACACCCTGGACCCTTGATTCTTCTCTTTAGCTAATCAGAATGATGGAAAACACAACTGTGCACGACTCTGTTATGCCTCTCACTGAAAAACCCAATGAAAAACACCACTATTATAACATTTTTTTTGGTGGTTGTAATTTAAGGAAACATAAAAAAACTGCAAGGGGTCATGAATACTTTTGTGCTGCACTGTAAATTTGAGACAATTGGGAAATGTCCTGGAGTCGGGTGCATCTGCTGTGCAGTAGCTGCTACAATCGTAATCGTTATTTTCATTAAAAAATTTATAGATGATTTAAACTAATAATACGTAAGTTATATAGAAAGTAAATATAAACAACAACCATTAAAACAAACCTTGTAGGATTTTCTGATTTATGTACAGGTATGCTGCTACTCTCTAACACCTTAACCACAAACCAGACAGAATGTTTCAAGTGGAAAGATGCCGCTAGCTCTTCAAAGCCTAAACAAGCCCATCACGCTTTGGATGGTTTAACACCAACAAGGCTGGCTTACCCAAGTACTGTTATCTTGTGTACAATACAGAACAGACAGATAATAGTATTTTGTTAAATAATTACATAATTTATCATGTGCAATGGTTTGGTACAGTTTTCATGAAGTCTGAGTAAATTTAGGAACACAGACGTAATAATATCAATAATTTAAACAGATGCCAACTGAATAAAGAATAAACTGGATCACCGTGACGGCCATTTCTCCTCCTTGGTAGTGATCATGAACCAGAGAGTTGGTCCCGTAGTCCCAATATGTCAGAGTCAAAGTGATGCTGAGTTAGGACTGTTTCCCATTCAGATCAAAGCAAGAAAAAAATGAAAAATATGAAGAAAAGAAGCCGTGTCTGATTTGTGCCTATACTGTACACGTGGCTTGTTAGCAGCACAAGTTTGGTGTTTTTGACTTTGGCCGTAGCTTTTCACTGGTGAGAGCAAATAAACAACGGAGATGCAGAGGGGCGAAGGGGAGGAGTCTGTTGTCTCAACACAGAAAGTTCCTGTCTTATTTTGTCACCAGGACTGGAAACAAATGTTTGCTTTAGCAAGCAAAGTCCTCAAACACCCCGCGGTGTCCTGGGCGATGATGGTGAGGAGGGGGATGAGGAGGAGGATGAGGCTGAGGAGGAGGAAGAGGGTGAGGGTGTGGGTGAGGGTGAGGGATGTGGTGGTTAGGGAGGATGGTGTTGGCGTACGCCCCCTCTGGGTGACTCCGTGTCGTGTCATTGGGCTCCTGTTGAATAAAACAAAGCAAATTCAGAGTCACGGACAAATGTTGAATCAAAAATAAAAACAGCCATTTGTTATTATTCTGATACCAATAATTTAGAAGTTCCTCAATGTTTATTTGTGTTAGGTTTCTGTTTTCTGTCATGCTTTTCTTTTGAGTATCCAGTTTTGCTTTTCTCCTTGTTTCCTAGTTTTTATGGTTTAATTCTTAGTTTATTGTGTTCTTTGTTTTTTTTTCTCTGTTACTGTCATAGTCTTGGTTCTGTTATATTTTCTTTTTAGTGTTCAGTTTTGCTTTGCTCTTTCTTTTCTAGTGTAAGTGGTTTTATTTTTATTTTGCTGTGTTCTCTAGTTAGTTTCTGTTTCAGTCTTGGTTTTGTTATGTTTTCTTTTGAGTGTTTAGTTTTTATTTTCTCCATGTTTTATAGCCTTAGTGGTTTAATTATTATTTTGTTGTGTTTTCTAGTTATTTCCAGTCTTCCAGGTTTTTCATTTGTTGCCCTCTGCTGCCCTCTTGTGTTCTCCTTTCTCCCTAGCTCCTGTTTTGTTCCTGCTCTGTCCTCACCTGTTCCCAATCTTCTCATTAGCCCTCTCTTTGTCTCTGTCCCCTTTAAAAGCCCTTTCTCTTCAGTTCCTCTTTGCTAGGTCCTCGTCTAAACTTCGTCTGTCGTCCTCCAACTCGTCTCTCTGAGCCTTTCTCCTGGTTACAATTCTTCCCCTGTTGACTCCATCATTTTTTGGTAACGTTTGACTTGAGTTTTCTTGTTTTTTTTTTTTATTATCTTTGAATTTTGGACTCCTTGTTTCTTGTTTGTTGTTGAACTTTGTTTTCGTTTTTGGATTTTTGTTTGCCTATTTGTTTGGACTTTGTTTTTTGAGTAATTCATCATTAAATCAACCTTCTGTTCACCTCTGCCTTCTTGACTCTGCTTTAGGTCAACAATCCTAAACCAAATCCTGACTATTTGTGATTTTTTTGACACCTTTTCAGGAAAGAGATGTAAATACTATGGAAGATTGAACAAAGAGGAAATAACTCAGGGGTCTGCAGGCAAATATGATCTGATATTAGTGTTTTGGCTCATATCGGATTCAATATTTATTTTGAATTTGGACAACCCTTGTGCTTTTAGCACCTGTACTGTTTTCTGTCATATCTCTAACAGAAGGACAGTAAAAGTAGAAGGCCTGTAAAAGTTATTTAATAATTGCTTGGTTTTATTCTCTATAATTTTTGTGAGCTACCTATTATCTTTTTATTTTTTTAACATCTATGTACAGGGAACACTCAGCTGGTTCTACAGACAAGAGTTAGCTTTTATTTCCTTGCAAAAGGTTTTATGTATCAATATAAAAAATATAATTCAATAAATATAAAAGCCTCCAGTTTAAATGTTTTTTCCCCATTTAAGTCAATTTTATCAACCCAGTTGATCGAAGCAGCTTCTTAAGATCCAACAGTACACTGAAAATGAGAACATGACGAATCATTTAAAAACCTTCTTCCACATATAATGTGAGATCAATGAGACCTTTTGCAATTCGAATGAAAAAAAGGATGGGGGTAGCAGAAGTAAGGAACAACACAATGTCAGTAAAACTTCACAACGGCATGATAACTAAGTGTGATTTTTTTTTACATCTTTTCAGGAAAGAGATGTAAATACTATGAATGATTGAACAAAGGGGAAATAACTCAGGGGTTTGCAATAACTAATAGTCCTGAACCTCAGATCTTTGTGTTACCCTTCCTTCTTTATTAGACTAGTTTTTTACTGCCTAACCCCTTTACTCCATAACGCCGGGAAACCCAGCATAATTATTTCATTGGAATTCTCAGCTGTGTTACTGGTTGTTAAATGGTAAACTATAAATAAATCCCATCTTAAAACGTATTTCTTTGCCCATTAAATAATTCAAGAATCTTTCAACTAACAACCTTGAAATACCTTTTTACCCCCATGATTTAATCATATATAGCAGGGGTACCTAATTATAATTCAGCGGGGTCCGAATACAGAAAATCAACCATTAAAGGTTGATT